ACGAATCCGTCCACCGTCCTGGAGCTGGCTGTTCCCGTGCACCGCGGTTACTTCATTACTGACGACGAGACGCTAGTCATTCGCTGCGACGCTGTGGCGGTGTTTGGCGGCTGCAAGGGTGTGCTGCTTGGGTCCTTCACGATCAGGTCGAACACGCTGCCCGCCGCTGCCAGCACCCTCTCGGCGATCACCGGCGTTGTTGCGGGTGCGACGGCTGTTGCTGTGGTGGTGACCGGCGGGCTGGGCCCCATCCTGGAGATGCAGGCGCTCGGCGTGTTTGCGAGGATGTCATGTGTTTCGGTGCAGGAGCGTGCGAGCACCGTTGCGCTGCCGTACTTCCTGTCGGTGTTCGCCGCCCTTGACCCGCTGTGGATGGTGGTGGGCAACGCGCTGCTCGCCGCTGTGTTTGGGTGCGTGCACTGCGGTGTGACGGCGGCCTTCCAGCGGTGGCGCGGCGTGGACGCGGCGAGTGCGTGGGCGGCAATGCGCTTCCCGAGCCTGACGTACGTTGTGGCGCACGCGATGCACCTCGGCATCCTCTTCGGCTCTGTGCTCGCACTGACAATGCCCGGCGCCCGCGTGCAGCACCGCGTGGTTGGTGTCGTTGGCGTGCTGTACGGAGTGGCGTTCCCTGCTGGCGTGTGCTACTTCATTGCCCGCCACACGGGCGCGAGCTTTACGAGGTACTGGCAGTTTTCGAGGAAGCCGTTGCACGAGCGCGTGCTGTACCCCGTCGGGTATTGGTTCCCTGCGGCGCAGCAGCGGATGTACGGCGGCATGCTGACGAACATGAGGGGCAGCCACGTGTACTGGTGCGTGTTCCAGCTGTCGGTGCTGTGTGTGGTGTGCCTGATTGCGGCTGTGCACCCGCCCGCGGGAGGATGCCACGTCCAGTACTTCTGCATGGCGGCTGTGCTGCTTGCGGGTGCGGGCGTGGTTGCCTTCACGAACATGATGCGCTCTGCCTTCCTGACGGTGATGCAGACTGCGAGCTTTGTGCTCTTTGCGTCGCTGTGCCTGGTCAGTGCGGCCAACCACCTTGCGCCGAGCGACAGCGGTGCGAGGGCGTACGTGGCGATCGTGCTGCTGCTGACGACCGTGCTGCTTGCGGCCACTGTGTACAGCGTCGTTGTGTGGTACGCGGAGGACCGCCACTGGCAGGAGCTGCGCGAGCTGCGGTGTGGTGGGCTGGAGGCACTGCTGCGCGATGACGAGGAGAGCGACGAAGAGACGCAGAAGCCGCACGACATGACGTCATCGTCGTACGCCTCAGGCACCACCGTTGCGTCGTCGTACCGACCATCCGCACCGCCGCTGCAGCTCATGGCCGGTGACACCCGCTCAGACGCCCTGAGCCTGTTCGACCGTGCATCCAGTGCGAGCCGCAGCATTAATTATGCCTTTCTGGACAGGTGAGGATGGTTTGCTTGACGAAAAATTTAGCGCAGTTTGTTCTGTTCGAGGTGGAAAGGCTCCGACCTCCAACCGTACCGTTACGCGGCGAGAAGACACAAAGCTCTCGCAGATGCGGCATGACGTAGATGCGTCTGGCAGGTATCTTCTCTTTCCATTATTCATAGATTGATTGGGTGATTGCTTCGTTGCTTTTATTTTATCGATTATCGACGACAACGGATTATCGAGCTTACCACGTTAGCTTGGGCGGATGCGGAAGGGGTGTGTGTGTGCGTGTGTTTTGCGCCCGCCGCTGCAGCACCGAGTATGGGGACTGTTGCTCTCTCTATTTCATATCTGTACTTAGTAATGAGGACGTGCTCGACGGCGGTGGCTGGTGTGCGGGCCATAGGATGCATTCAGGAAAGCGTTAGGGAAAACAGTTGATGAAGCCCTTTTGCGACGCGTCACCTCCTGGAAGTTGTGAGTGTGCGTTGCTGGCTGGCATGAGGGAGGGCGTGGGGGCCACGGCTGTGCAGCTGCACAGCCACCCATCGGACTCCGCAGCGACAGCGTCATTGATTGTTGGTTTTTGTTGGTTTGTTTCTATTTTTTGTGCGGGTACCTGCAGTGAATTTATCTCCTGTTCCACGATTACTGTGTGGGAGGGCATGCCTGTCACTCTTTATACTTCTGATGTTGTGTAGAAAGAACAACGAGAGAAGAAACGAAGAATAATGCGGAATGATGTATTACTTTGTATATATATATATATATATCGATGTACTTCTGTGGATTATTTCATTATTTCTTCCTTCTCTCCTTCTTTTTACGTCGCTCCACACTTGTCTCAGTGTTTGCTTTAGGACGGCCACACACGGGTAGCTTGAGTCGCGGGTAGTTTTTCTTTTTGACGGCATTTCCTGTTAGGTGCTGACGCGGCCACGTTCGTCAAGCATCCACTCCCCACAGCATGGTGCCTGGTATTTTGGAATCATCCCAGGTGTAACGCAGGCACCACCGCCGTGGCACGCATGGGAATTAAGGTGGAACGCGGGACAGCGAAAGATATTGTGCAGCACTTGTGTCTGTTGCATTTGTCCTGTTGAGGGCGTTTCAATGTAGAAGAGGAGGGATGAACACTGCACGACTCTGTGGTTGGAGCTATTATCCCTTATTATTTTTGTTATTATCCCTGGTTCTCACCCGTGCTTGCTCCGATTGCCTCCCTGAGTGGAGCTGCGCCACGGCCATCCTCTTGTTGCTTGCGGGAGGAAAAACACATTGCGAGTGAAGAAACCACACGTCATGTATGCGGCGTCCAGGGAGGCACGTATTTGAGGTGGAGTGCACATATGTGGATCTCATGGGACGGAATGGGGGTTGGCTGCCCAACCGTCGCTCCTTTTCTGGAGAGTGTGCTCCTTTTTTGATTTGTTGCCCTTTTGTGTCAGGGCACGACGGGATTGGGGAGCACCGTCCCGCGAAGGGTCTTGCACACATACACACTCTCATGCCACTGTCGCCCTCGAATTCGTGTGCAAAACCCAAATCCCTGCTGCTTTTTGCATTGGCGCAATTATTCATTTATTAACTGACGCCATTCTGTCCGGCGTGTCACTTTGATTGGATTGTGTGGGATTGCTCGCCAAGGCCATCGAACAAAACAGGCCCACCTTTTCACGTGCTTAAATGTCGTCTTGCACGCACGTATTTTTTTTACTTGTTCTGTTGGGCACTCAAACAGCGAGGTGTCCGGAACTATGCGTGCGTGGAATTTTTCCTGCCATGTGGACTGCGGGCAACACTGCGTGGCTGTCACTTTAATCCGCAGGGTTGTTGCGTCTCTTCGCAGGGTTGTCAGGGAAATTCCATGCAGCCTGCTACTGCTGGTGTGTCTTCAAATGTTGTCACTCCATGCGAATAATGTGCTTCAGCGAGTGAGGGTGTTGATTGGGTTTGTGTGCACTCTGATTCTGTTTGCTACTTTTTGTGGGCACGCAACGCTTGAGTGGTGGGAAAATGGAGCGGGGCGATGCATGGCTGCGTCTCGCCTATCGTTCACTGCACGATGGTGTGGTGCACATTGTGGTGCTGACTCTCCGATGTGAGTGCGGTCCCCTGTGCCGCAATGGCTGTGGGTGGCCGAGAGTGTTGACCCGCGGTGGGACGGCGGCATCGTGCATCCTTTTTATTCTTTTGTGAAGGTGCACACTCATTACTAGTGTTGGTAATGGGGCAAACGGACAGACAACGTGAATAAAACAAAATAAAAAAGGGCGATAATGTGGCGGTGTTGTGGTCGATTGCACGCCTCGTGTTGCTGCGGAGGCGGTGGGCCTTGACTGTTTCACCGACAGGCGTTGCAGTGCGGCTGCATGGCGCAACGACCACCGGGCCGCGCGAGTGCCACGCCCAACGCCATTAGGACAGCGGGACGAAACAGCCGCGAGTGTCCTTTGGAGCCAGCGGCACCTGCTGGCCGCAGTTGGGCGGTGCGAGTGGGACGCTTCACCGCACGGGTGTTGTGATGGCGCCTTGCAGTGGCTCCACTGATGGTTCCGACGCTGCAGCTCGCAGAGGAGTTGAGGAAAGGCGGCGAACAAATTGGACTCTTGACAGTTGGCGGCATAAAGGACATCCTGCTGGAGGGAAAGGAACGCACCGAAAAGTGAGGCTGAATGGTTTACTTTGGAATTATTTTGACGGCAGGGGCGTCGTGGAATTCTATAGGTAGGTCTATATGCGGGGTTTTTCTATTAGCTCCACGAAGTTCATCCAAGACGAAGTGTTATTGAGCACAATAAAAACATCGCCGTCATACCAAGAGCTTAAAAAGGAGCGTGAGGATATGCACGTGCTATTGGAGGCTTCAAATAAGCTTGGAGACGAAAATATATTGTCACTCTCAGGCAATGGAGTAACTTTGAAAGAAAAGGATACGGTCATTCCTCTTGCAAGGGCACAAATAAACACAGCCTACTATTATTTACTGAGAGAAGAGAGGCAGGAGGAGGAAGAAAGGGCAAGGCAAGAACGACAAGAACTGGGAATTGCCGTTTCCTCTGCGTACTGATGATGCGGTGTTTGAGGGAAGATCTCGTGTCAAGGAAATGAAGCTGAATGATTTTTTTACGATGGAACTGGACGGCAGGGGCATTGTGGACACCAAACGGGATGTCTTGCTGGAGGAGCTTTTAAAGGACCCCACGAAGTATATCCACGATGCGGGAGTATTGGGCGAAATACAGGCATCAAATCATTACAAGAGGATGGAGAGGGCTGTAAGGGATGAAATGGATATGGAAGAGGGTTTGAGCAGGCCTTACAAAAATGGTGTGGACAATCTACTGAGGTGTTTGGTGGCTACTGCATTGTTTTGTTTCTCGTGTGTTGGTTGCGTTGACTTTATTTTATGCTGAAATGTACTTGTTTTTTTCTGTTGCGCCACTGAGCTCAATATGTGGTCCACACCGTGTGGATAAGTCTTTTTCTGCGTCTTCCAGTCATTTCCGTGCGTATTTTTTTTTCTTCCTTATTCCCCTTTTGATTGGTCGTTAGTGTTCAGCTTTAACTTAACCCAACTAAGAAAACAAGAAGAAACAATGTCCGGAAGGCCCGAGGAAGGACTTCACAATAATGAGGAAAACCAATCGTCCAATGTCCCGCAACGAGATCGGAGGAGAGCGAGGCTGGAGTCCAATAGTGACACAGATCAACCCGCTGCGACTCGCAGAAGAGACGAGGAAATGCGGCAACCGCAGTGGACCATGGGCAGCACCGTAGAGGACATTCTGCTGGAGGGAAGCACTAACAGGACCGACATGAAGCTGAACGATTTCCTTCGGAGCAAATTGGGCGGCACGGCGGCTGTTGGTGAAGACTACAATGTGACGATGGAGGCGTTTGTTCAGGATCCCGAGACGTTTATCCAAAACAAAAGGTTATTACGCATAATAACGGCATTGCCGTCATACCAATTGCTGGAAATAGAGCTGGAAAGAGAGCTGTATGAGAGGAAAATTCTATTGGAGGCTATTAATAAGCTTCATCCCGCGGATGTGTTCTCTCTCGAGCAATGGAGGGACTATGAAGGAAAGAATACAATCACTCCTTTTCCAAAGGCAAAACTAAACGGAGTTCTCACTCAGGTACAGAGAGAAAGCCGTGAGGCGGAAGAAAGGCTAAGACGTGAGGAAGAAGAAAGGCGAAGACGAGCGCAAGAAATGAAATTTACCATTTCCACTACGATCGAAGATGTACTGTTCAGAGGGGAATTTCGCTACAAGGAAATGATGCTGAACGATTTTCTTCTGCTGAGATTTGGCGGCAGGGGCGTTGTGGCTACCAATCGGAGTGTTTTGCTGGAGGAGTTTTTTAAGGAACCCACGAGGTATATCCGCGATAAGAGAGTACTGGGCGAAATACGGGCAACAGATCGTTATTTGAGGATGGAGAGGGCTGTAAGGGAGGAAACGGATATGGAAGAAGATATAAAGAAGCTCCACTATAATCATGTAAGTACTCTGCTGGGGTGGCTAGTAGCTGCTCCGGAGGTAAAAGAAATTGTTCATCGCATCACTGAAAGTTTTTTGGATGCAGCCCTTGAGGAAGCGAGGAACTCAATGAGGATGAGTGCAGCGATGAAACTGGAGGGATTGTACGAGTCTGTGTGCAATGCGAGGTGGAGCCATTTGGTGGAAGTTCCTGGCGGCGAGGGGACCGGACTGGAAGTGAGGGAGGGGGAACCACCACAGTCATGGACGTACAAGGCAGTTGGCCGAACCCTCGAAAAGGATGACGGAGTGCAGCAATCCGGTGCAGCAAGTCCCAGGCTGATGGTGCTCACCTCGGACAAGGGCTGGCCGTACACGTGGAATCGGAAGGGGGTGGAATCCACTCGTGACTGCTACGTGAACTGTGAGGTGGATCGAGTGTGGCAGATCGTCAAGGGCGATCTCACCGAATGGTTCAGCAGTCACGGTGAGGCCGACTTTGGGCCTAGGCGACGTGTGTTGATTGGGACGCCCGGGATCGGGAAGTCGATGGCTGCCGGTTCGTACCTCCTCTACCAGCTGCTGCACTACGATGCGGAGCAGCTCCCAATGGTTGTTTACTTTATTGCGGATCGGAAATTCCTGTTTGACAAGACCAGCAGGACGGTGTCGACATACATGGGCGAATCCAGTAATAAGTCTTTTGTGAGGAGTCTGTCTGACCGTGGGATGAAGGGGTATATTATTTACGATGTGGCAGAGCCGGATGATGAACCGTCTAGTGATTTGCCTTCCAGGGGATGGGGCATGGTTTTGGTGTCACCCCCATTCGAGAGGAACTACAAACAATGGGTGAAGCGGAGCGGTGCCACAGAAATAGTTATGAATTGCCCTGGTGAAAGCGATGTGAAGGCGGTGTGCATTTGGATGAGGCGCCATCGGCCCGTGCGGGAGCAAGCGGAGTACTGGCATGTGGTGAAGGGCCAAATGGATGAAGTGGGACCTATTCCACGTTATATCTTTGACGAGCGAAAGTATGATAATTGGGTTCAACGGTGTCACAAGACCGTCGATGAGGCGACCTCTTCTGTAATCTTGCAATACACTGGTTTGGGATGTGGTGGATACTGGGATCGTATGAAGGTGCTCTACTGGCTTGCGAGGGTTGTCCGAGTACGAGGTGGAGAGTTTGGTTCTGAATTTTTTTTCAATTTACCGGTGTCTGCTCACCTCGGAAATAAAACATTATTCAAGTCGGCGAAGTTAATGCAGCAGCATTATTTTAATTTACTCATATCGTGGCTGACGGATTATCTCATATCAGAAAATTTTGGAAGGTGCACCGTGTTTGCATTTTTGAATGGATCTTTTGTAAGTGCAATAGAACGCAGGCTGAGGGAGCTGAGGCCATCACCACAACGTCAGTCCCACCGCTGTGCGCTGGCGGTGTACTCACAGGAGCGCTCCACCAGGCACCATGTCTTATCACCACTGGAACGCTTTTCTGAGAGGATTGATGTGGAGTGCGGGGTGCTGTACGTAACGGAGGTGGAAAACTTTCCGCTGGTGGACGGCTTTTTCTTTGTGAAGTTAAATCCAATGACGCTGGTTGGGCTGCGGATGGCTGCGGCGGGTGGGCATCACACCACAGCCAGCACTGCGAGGCAGTTCACTGAGTGCCTGGCGGCATATTTTAATGGTTGGGACGAGTTATCCCGAGACATGTCGTGGGAGATTATTTATGTGCAGCACGCAGACAGCACGCCGATGAATGACTGGCAGAGATGTGATGTCGTCGATTCCAATAATGTGAGCGAGGATGAAAAAAAGATTGCGGCGTTTTGGAACGAAAAGGTACGCCAGTACCAAGTGTCAATATCATCCGAAGACGCCCCAAGAAGGCATTAGAATTGAGGAGTAATTAAAGGAATAAATAGGAAAACAAATTGGGGAATTGTGGGGGTAGTTTGAGTTCTGGTAACAAATATTGCGGGTTGTTTCATATGGTTGGATGCCTGTGTGTGCATACAGTGCAGATGCACCAGCATCAGGTGGCAGCATCACACACAGATGCGGAAAATGTCCAACGCGAGCGATCGTAACAGTGAACGAAGAAGAAATTATGGAGGGAACGGGGTAGTTTGGTTTCTGGTAGAAAAACATTGCGGGTTGTTTCATACATGTGGATTTCTGTGTGTGCATACGAGGCATAGTAGGGAAATTGCTCTTTTATGAGAGAATGATTATGGCCAGCGGTGATGAAGTATTAATACGTTGTTCATTTCCTCTTATTTTTTTTGTTCTAAGGCCCATCATTAAACGAAGCATCTTTAAGGGATAGACGACGACCAAGTTCTTTTGTGGGAACAGTGCACTCCGTGTGACTGCTTGGAGTGGGGCGCCGTATTCAATTGAGGGTGGAATGGCTTCCTTGTGCCTGCGTCATCGTTGCTTCCCCTTGCGATTTCATGCTTGAATGCCTCATCGCGGCGCCAGGGCAAATTGCTCCGTATTGTCGGGGAGGCCAGGAGCCAGCAATGTTTCCCTCACGGGGTTGTTGTTTTTGTTGGCGCAGCGCTGACGGCATCGACCAGCGTCCGGACCAGCCGCGTCGTGCTGGGGCACATTTTAAAAACCAAGAGGTCTGGGGGCACGCGTTGCCGCAGCGCGGGCCATGTAGTTGAAAAAACACGAGGGAGGACAACAGAAGCACAACTGTGCGTGCTGTAGCAAGTCGGCACTGATGCTCTTTTACTTTGTCGGCACTGGAAACTGAGAGGGTGCGCCCTGCGCCTGTTGCCATGCACTCTCATAGCCACGTATTGAATGGAGCGTGTTGTTGTTTCTCTGAAGCGGGCTCCGTGTATCAACGCGACAGGGAAACACGGTTGGCGATGGCAGGATTCCCTACCGGAACGGCACTAGAGTGCGGGGTTCCCAGAGTCGGTCGCTTGCCGGGGCGGGGACGGCTATCAGGGATTGCCCCGAGGTTGCTTCTTAATGCCGTTGTGGTTGCTGACGGCGAATTGTTGATTGGAGAGCGAGATTGTGTGTGTGCCACCGTGTGATTTCTCGCAGTGGGAACTCGTTGGAGTTATGCATGTGTGTTTTCGCCTCACGGGTGTGGTGTTTTGGATCCCTATTTCACGTTATTTGGTGGCGCAGCAGTGAGCGGTGACGTGATGCAACCCAATAGCCACACGGGCGGGACGGACACGGTTATGCGAGCCTGTGGAGGACCCGAGCAAGTCCAAGTGTACTATGCGGTTTGGGTCCACAAAGAAGGAAGAAACAGTGGGCGGCTGAGGGGAGTTGCAATGCACGCGGCTGCGGAAGATGACATGCATTCTTGAGTTCACGTTGACTGCCACTTTGGATGCTTTTTCTCGAGGCCGTGAATCCTTTCAAATTTACTTGGAGGTGCTTGATGACGCCAGTTGTGGAGGGCATTTTCATTTCATACGAGGATGGCAAACGGGAGACAAGGAAGAAAAAGAGCGACGCCTCGCCAAAGGAGCGGCTGCTGGAACGTTGACGAGACACGAGATTGTTTGCACGGCCAGCTGTATGCTCTCGGTAGGATGTTCCTTGAGGCGTTCATTGGCGCGAGAGTGAGGTGCACGTACGGGCAGGCACCGCAACAACAGTGTCGTTGGTTCTCCATCGCACGAATGAGACGACGCACGTCAGGCGTGGCAGGTGACGTCCCCTGCGAACCTCCTCCCTTCTCTTCTGTTTCACATCTTGGCATTTTCTGCATGTGGGCACCGCTCCCATTGGCCGCCTTCTGTGACACGAGAGCCGCCTGTATTCTTCGCCATCGCATTAAAGAGTCGTGAGGAGGGCTTGGAAGGTGCGTTGAGGAGCCGTGTGGTCTCTGCGAGCATGTCCTCTGTTTTTGAGAGGTGTTGAATTTTGGATTACCGAAACGCACATTGAGTGCTTGGGTTAGAGACACACATAACTGGGCGGCAAACGTGTTCGTGGAGGTGCAGGAGGGCCACGCCATTGGGAGGAGGAAGAGTGAATGGGTGGGTGGATGGTGTCTGTGGCCCACATGTGGTGCCCGACTGGTGCTTCACTGTGTTTGGTGTTATTATCATTTGCATCCACAAAGAATGGCTTTGGGTGCTGCTTTTCCCAACTCTCTCTTACTGTGTCTGTGTTTTGCGTGTGTGTGGACATGAACCTTCTTTCGTGCTGTACATTTGCCGCATAAGCTGTCGATGGTCTGTTTGAAATATGTGATGATTTGCGGCATTTTGTTGAATTGTGCTTTGATGTTTGCCGCGGGTGACAGCCATATTGGAGGCGTTGCTTTTTCTTTACTCTGATCACGTGCGGTGTTTATGGGAGGCCTCTCGGGGAAGCGCCAGTCGACATTGTTGTGAAGCCCAGGCATGATGCCACACTTTTTATTGACGTGGAATGAGTTGAGGGTTTGCATATAAGCTTCTGTGCATTCTTGCCGTGGTGCTCCTCATGCACAGCCCATGGAGACGACTGGCTGAGAATCTTCAGAGGGCGTCTCGTTGAGTCGAGGGGCGCATAGCGTTTTGCTCGCTCATTGAGGGTCCGGGCGTCACAGATGATGCATGGGGCAGGCAGAAATTTGTGCATGGCGGAATGAAGAGACGAGGGGCTGGTTGTTTGATTTTTACTGACGAGTCCTGCCTCACTGCTTGGAGGGGGCTGTCGTTGGCTGGGGCAACCTGTTTTGTGTGTCCAGACACTGCTTGCGCCGAGTGGCGGGGTGCCGTGTTGGTGTGTGCGGCTCCGTCATGCGGGGCGGCAGAGCGTGGCGTTTACGGACTGTGTGGCTGTGAGCTGATGAACGTGGCGGGAGGCGTGTCTGGGGGGAATCCGTGAAAGGAGGAGTGACATGCGTTTGGCGGTGCTGTTGTTCGAAGTGCGAGGGAGGAAGAAAAAAAAAATGATTTCTGACATGTCGGTGGGTGTGCCACGTCCGCCGATGAGTTCTCAGGGAGAGGGGCAGGAGTGAGGGAGACGGAGACTGTGCGCATGCGCTGCGGCGTGTGGTGCCACAGGATGCGATTGCCATTGCGACCGGTGCAACGGTCGTTATGCGTGCAGCAGGCGTCATCTACATTTTTGTGTCTGCAGAGCTTGCAGGTGCTGCGAGGAGGTGCAGGCGACCTCTCATCATTGGGCTGCTGAGGCTCTTTTCCTCTCTGCTCGGCGGGAGAAGCAACTCTTCCTGCAGGCGATGTTCCGGTCTGCATCGATACTCCCAACGGGGTATCACGCCGCCGTGCCGTTGCAGTTCAACTTTCGTATCCCTCACTGCACACGCGGTCCCCTGTCGCTTGGCTTATTTGCAGGGCCATGGCCTGCGGTTCCCCATTGGGAGGCTGCTCGCTTTTTAAATACTTTATATTTATTTATGCTGTTGGGAGGTGCTGGGGAGTAATGGCTGCGGGGATGTTGATGTTGTGCTTCGCTTTGAGTGGTGGCGGTGTGTACTGCTGTTTTGTTGCCTTTCTGCCGCTGTTGCCTGTTGCTCCCCTCCAAGAAGGAAGTTAATACCAAGCGCGAACTGCTACTGTGAAATTGTAAGGCTCTAAAAGTTCCAACAACAGCACACACACCGCCCACCCACACGTATTTGTATGCTCTCACGTGTTGCTGCTGTGAAGGCACCCCGCACACACAACCGTCGCCGCGTGACCGGATCCAGCGGAAGGAGGAGGGAAGGAAGAGAGAGTGAGCCGCAGAGGCCCAACATGTCCCGGCGTGTGTTTGCTTCCGCGGTGATGCTCCTCCTCGTCACGACGATGTGCTGCGCCACCTGTGGAGCTGCGCACGCTGTGGAGAGTAGGTCAGGGGATTTGAAGCTGCCGCAATGGGTTGCTCTTTTGGCGCCACAGCAGACGCAGGTTGTGACAAAAGAGGAGTCTGAAATTGGAGTGAAATTTGCGTTTCTCACACCCTCTCTCGTCAGTGCTGGTGGGGTGATGGTTGCTTTTGCTAAGAGTCTTGTGGCAATCGACTTCTCCACCGGGGAAAAAAGAGGTTTAGCAATTTGAAGTGGTTGCGGGGTACGTCAACGCTGCGGAGACGTGGTCGTCTCTTGTCGCTGCGGTTAATGATGGTACATGGAGGGCACACACCGCGCTTAGTACAGTGAAGGAAGAGGATCGTGTGGGTGTTGCGAAGCTACCCACAACACTGGCGAAGGGCAATAATGTGTTTTTAATTGTAGGAAGCCATGAAGAGAAGTATGACAGTGTTACGAAGAGCTGGGAGGCAGGTGACTCATGCCCAACTGGTTGTGGGTGAGGCCACGCGGTCCACGGACGGCGTGCAGAGTAAAACGATCAACTGGGGTGAACCCACACCGCTTTTAAGACAGATCGCTCCACAGACCCAGGGTGAATTGAGGGAACTTCTGCCCACTGGTGGCGCCGGTGCTCTGACGGAGAAAGGCACGCTCCTGTTTCCCCTGGAGGGGAGGAATAACAATGGTGATATTGTCTCCGTGATCACTTATTCGACGGACGATGGGAAAAACTGGTATTTCTTGAAGGGAATACCTCCCGCGAAATGCTTTAACCCCCGCATCACCGAATGGGAGAGGGGCGACGAATTCTAGTGGTTAGTGATTGTTTTGGTGGTCAGAATTTGTACGAGTCGAGTGACATGGGGACAACGTGGACGGAGGCTGTCGGGACACTCCCAGGCGTGTGGGTCATGTCAAAATCAGGAGCTCTTTGGGACAGAACTTTGCGTGTGGGAGCCATCATCACCGCGACCATTGAGGGAGGGAGGGTGAAGCTGTACACTTGGAAAAGGGTACACCTCGGGAGAGAAAGTGGACAAGGCGCACTGCCTTTGGGTTACGGACGAAAACTGCACGTTTCACGTTGGACTGTTTTCCATGGAGCATG